GAGCGGGAAAACGCCAGCCGCGGCCTTGTCAAGGTCCTGGTGCCAGGCCTCAAGGTTCCCGGCAGCCTGTGTCCAAGAGCACTGTGAAATCAGACTGCGCAGCGGCTCCTGAAAAAAATTGGACCACTGGCCCTTAACAGGGCCTTCCAGAAGGTCCTGGAGGGGCTCCCAGAGGACGGGGCGGTTCCAAACCACAGCGTAGCTCCTGGCCGCCAAGGCCGCCACGTCGGATTTCCTCTGGGCCGTACGCTGCGCCATCCACAAAACTTGGTGTCGAGCCAGAGCCCGCAGATCCAGCACTCCACCATCATCCGAAACCAAACGCCGAGCGTTTTGGATCTGCCAGCCTGTCGCACAGATCGTTGACACGAAAACGCGCCCCTGGAACCGAAACGAACGCCAGGCAAACCAAGCCTGCGTCGAACCGTCAGAGGCCTGGCCGTGGCGCCTCCTACTGCGTGGTGAGGGAGCTGCCGTGCCCTGCGTAGCCGACGTCAAAGCTGGCGTGCCCGACGATCTGGTGGATGCCAAAGATCTCGCCGCTGAAGCCACCGTAGCCGACGCTGCCGGTGCTGACGACGCCGCCGCTGCTGCTGTGGCGGGTGTCGAGGCCGGCGTGCGCGACGGGGAGTTCAGCCATTATATGGTCCCGAGCTGGTTGTCCACATGGCGGTTGCTCTTGGCTTGGTAATCCCTCTGGACGTCCGAGGCGTGGTACGCGATCCAATCGTGGCCCTCGTCGCTGGGGTCGTTGTCTACGAGGCTGAAGTCGTGGTCTGAGTTGCTGTCCTGGTACTCTGGGAACCACTGCGCTTCGCCTGCCCAGGCGGCGTCATCGGAGCTCTGCAAGTCGCTCGAGCTGAAGATGCCGTCACTCTCGTCGTCGCTATCATCGGAGTCCCGCAGCTCCTCGTTGCAGATCTTGCTCCAGTAGCTGAAGACGTTGTGATCTCTCCGTCTGCCTGGAGGGCCGACGGGAGGGGCCTGCCCCGTGCGTTCAGGGTGAGCAGCCCAGGTCGAAGGCCATGCACTCATGGGCCGCGTTGAGCGACGCCAGCCAGCGTAGGTACCTTTGCCGACGATGGTCATTTCGATGCCACGAGAGTGTACACATCTCAGCTGCCAACTGGCTCGGACTCTGAGCGCGAGCATCCAGTCGCCACGCAAATCTGGGGTGGCTAAACTCAGCTGTCAGAAATAGAATGCGGATGCCCAGGTAGTCCAGCCTGCCACCGTCCTGCTGCCCGAGGCTAAGGTCGTGATACCACCGCGTAGCCCCCAGGTCGATGCCATGACGAGCGCAAGGGCAGGGCTATGCCAGACCCGCCTCCGCGGCGCTGGAGGATGCTCAGGCCGCTCCTCGCAGGCGTCGTCGACGTCGAACCTGGGCCAGCCATGATTTGAAACGTTAAAGTTGTAGGTGTCGGCGCTCGCGCTGCCGTCGCGCCCAGAGTCGCCCGAGACTGAGGGGAAGGACAATGCCGAGCGCCAGTCTTCTGAAAAAGGTCAAACTGCAGTGCACAGGATGCCCTAGCTGGACTGTCCAACCCGCATCCTGCGTCTGCCCCCAAGTAGAATAATAGTCTTCATGAAGGCCCGTGCTATAGCCGCTGCTGCTGCGACTTGGCGGTTGCAGTCTGCGCCAGTTTCTCCTTGGCCGCCTTGACGACCGACGGAGTGGCCTCTGCTGCTTCCGCAGGCGGCTCCGCACCAGGCTGCGTGGGCTTGGCTGGCGGCGGTGCCGACGCGGCCGCTGCCTTGCCAGGCGATGGCGGTGCCTTGGCCTGAGAGGAGGCCTTGGCTCCACAGCCCGCCGCCCCGCTGGTGCTGCCGTCAGCTGCTGCTGCAGGTTCCTCGGACGGACGGGGTCGCTTGGCCTTGAGCCGCTCCTTCTGCTTGGCTTGCTCCTCCTTGATGGCCGCCGCCTTGGTCTTGAGGTCGCCGAAGCAGGCCTTGGCCGCCTCGGTGAATTGGCGCTGGAGCTCGTCCGTTCGGCGCTGGGCCCCCTCCTTGTCCTCCGCGGTGACGGCGTCGTCGAGCTCGTCCAGCCCGAACATCCCTCCGTCGTCCAAGCGGATCTCTTGGCCGTCCAGCAGCGAGGGCAGGTCGATGGTGGGCACTGACGCTGCTGCAGCATCTGGCCGCGTGGCCCCGTCGTCCGCGACGGATGAGGCCAGCCTCTTGACCGCAGCTTGGTACAGTCCTCGGACCAGATCGACCTCTGACGACGCTGCTGCCACCTCAGCCTGAGCTTCATTGTACTGGGCCTCCACGCGATCGAAGCGCTCCACTGCACGGCGAAGGGCCGCCTCTGCTTGCTTGACACGTTGCGTG